AAAAAAAAAAAAAAGAGTGACTGTTATGCTTCTTCAAATAATATCTACTTTACTACTAAGTTTACTTGAAAGGTAAAAAAAATGTACTTAAGTGAGCCTCTCTGATGAGGATTAAGAAAACATTGTTTTGGATTTCAGTGTATGTTCTCATCTTTGATGAAATAATTTGATGATTTCCAAGGGAAGTAAACATGACATTTTCTACTATACCTTTCTCCTGCTTGCTGTCTGTCTAACCTTAGGCAATGTTCTTAAATATTATATCCTTTACAATCATTTCATTTTCACACAGTTATTGTTTTAGGTTAGCAATTGTGTAAAGTTGTTAATAAGATTTTTTGAAATTTTGTATTTTTCAGAAATAGCCAGGCAAGCAGCACAAATAAAGCTTTTAAGAAAACTTCAAAAGCAGGAACAGGCTCGAGTTGCTAAAGAAGCTAAAAAACAACAAGGTGGGTGATTTAAATGATGACAAATGTAAAGAGTGAGTATTGGGGGGAGGGGGTTCATGGGAGCCCTTGCCACTCTTTTTTCTGATCTGTGCTTTTGTTTCTCATCACAGCAATAATGGCTGCTGAGGAGAAGCGAAAACAAAAAGAACAGATAAAGATTATGAAACAGCAGGTATGTTTATGCATTGGAACTGACTTTTAAAACATGGACCTTATTTTGAGGATTTATTCGTATGTGTGCATTATCTTCAATTCCTTGAGTAACTATTTTTCACATTAATGTTATATATATTATTTAGAAAGTTGTCCTCTTCCTTTAGTTAAAAGTTTACTTCACTTTTTAACAAGTTTTCTACTTCACTGTTTTCTAAAAAATGATAACTGAACAGTAAATTTGTTTAAGTACTTTTAAGATCCCTGAAGACTTTGAATATAAGTTGACATATTGAATAATTTTCAAACTTTTAAAAATTAATATATCAGTAAATGAAATACATTGCTTGAAAGTTGAAATTTTAATAAGAAAAGCTTACTGATCTTATATTGTGAAATATTAGTAAAAAACTAAATCCAAGTTATATAGAATATGGTTTGCCCTCATTGCTTCTAAATTCTTTCCAAGTTACATAAAAATTGCTACTGCAAAACAATGACAATAGCATTGTTTGAGCATATCTAGAGTTCTGTCTTATATCTACAATGTCCACGTGGTTTTCAAAATTAGGTCAGTTAAGTAATTTTTAAGTTCTTACAGGTATTGAGAAACTGGTATTCAACTACATTAAAGAAAGGAACTTGTGAACTGCTCTTTCATCTTCACTTGCATTGACATTAAAACAGAAAGGAAATGGGGGTAAATTGTTTTGTTTTGTTTTGTTTTTTAAGATAGAGTCTTACTATGTCGCCCTCAGTAGACTGCCATGGTGTCATAGCTCACTACAACCTCAAACTCTTGGGCTTAAGTGATTCTCTTGCCTCAGCCTCCCAAGTAGCTGGGACTATAGATACCCGCCACAACGCCTGGCTGTTTTTTTTGTTACAGTTTTTATTGTTGTTTAGCAGGCTCAGGCTGGGTTTGAACCCACCACCCTTGATGTATGTGGTTGGTGCTGTAACCACTATGCTACAGGCACCAAGCCAGTACTATTGTTTAAAATAATTTTGAACAGCAAGTAGTTATTTCTGAGTATGAAATGAAATAAGTTGTATTACTCTGTAAATAGCTAAATAAAGACCTCAAGTTAGACTTTATGTGATTATTGCTAGGATTTCTCCCAGTGTTGACTAAAGCAATAGAAAAAGTTGATACAGAGTTGGGATTCAGAATTTAGAATTTTTGTCAAGCAACCTAGAGTTAAATATGGGCTCTGTTACTTGATAATTTAACCTCTAAGGAGGATAACTTAACCTCTAAGTTTGCTTCCTCCATTGTAAAAGAAGAATTGCAGTATCTGAAGATTAAATGAGATAATGAATGCAAAGTGGTGACCACCATGCCTTGTGCAAAACAAATTTTCAAATTTTTAAGAATACATATAAAATAACAATATATAGTAGAACCTCTGTAAGTTGACCACTGGAAGGAATATAACAAACTGGTCAACATAAGGAGGTGGTCAACATAAGGAACATCCACTGAGTACATGCAGTGCATATCTGGACTATGAAAATTAGATTAAGGGCAGTGCCCATAGGTCAGTGGGTAGAGGCACTGGCCACAGCTGGCTGGTTGGAACCCACCCCAGGCTAGCTAAAACAACAATAACAGCTGGAACAACAACAACAAAAAAAAAAACAGCTGGGCATTGTGGTGGGTACCTATAGTCTGAAGCTACTTGGGAGGCTGAGGCAAGAGAATCGCTTAAGTCCAAGAGTTTGAGGTTGCTATCAGCTGTGATACCATGGCACTCTACCCAGGGCAACAGCTTGAGACTCTGCCCCCAACCCCACCCAAAAAAGAAAAAAAATCAGATGAACTTAAGGAGATAGTCAATGTAGGGAGGTAGTTAACTAAGGAAGTTCTACTGTAGTACTCTTTTTACCATAGTTAGGTAGGTTGTCTATTTGCTTTGGTTATTTCTCCTAAGCTGAAGGATCTAAGAGGATCATATGGTCTTTGTTTTTGCTTCTGTTGATACAGTGAATAACGTTTATGGACTTGCATATGTTAAACCAGCCTTGCATCCCTGGGATGAAACCTATTTGATCATGATGTATGACTTTTTTGATGATGAGCTGTAATCTATTGGCTAGGATTTTGTTGAGAATTTTTGCATCTATATTCATTGGTGAAATTGGTCTGAAGTTCTCCTTTTTAGTTGGCTCCTTTCCTGGTTTTGGAAATTCAGGGTGATATTTGCTTCATAGAACGTGTTGGGGAAGATTCCTTCCTCCTCAATTTGGTTTGATAGAATTCTGGTGTGAAGCCATCAGGACTAGGGCATTTTTTTTGTTGGAAGACTTCTTATTGTTTCTTTGATCTCAGTGCTTGAAATTGGTCTGCTCAGGAGATCTATTTTTTCCTGGCTAAGTCTAGGGAGAGGGTGTGATTCCAAATATTGATCCATTTCCTTTACATTGTCAAATTTCTGGACATAGAGTTTCTGGTAGTATTCAGACATAATTTCTTATGTCTCTGTGGCATCTGTTGTTATTTCCCCTTTATCCTTTCTCATTGAGGTTACTTTTACTTTTCTATTTCTAGTCTGGCCAAAGGTTTACCTATTTTATTTATTTTTTAAAAAAAACCAACTTCTGGACAGTGCCTATGGCTCAAGGAATAGGGTACCAGCCCCATATACCAGGGGTGGACGGTTCAAGCCCGGCCCCAGCCAAAAAAACAAACAAAATAAAAAAATCCAACTTGTCTCATTAATTTTCTGACTGATTCTTTTGTTTTCAATTTCGTTGATCTTTGATTTAATTTCTTTTCTTCTGCTGGGTTTAGGCTTAGATTGTTCTTTTTTCAGTTCCATAACATGGCTTGTGAGTTTATTGATGTTTTCTGGTTTTCGGATGTAGGCATCCAAAGTGACACATTTTCCTCTCAGAACTGCTTTTGCAGGATCCCACAGGTTTTGGCAGCTTGTGTCTTCATTGTTGTTATGCTCAAGGAAGCATATGTTATCCTCTTTTATTTCTTCCTGCACCCACTGTCATTCAACATAAGGTTGTTTAATTTGCATGCCATTTTGTGGGGTGAACATTTTTGTTGCAGTTGAGTTCCACCTTGAATGCCTTGGGGTCTGAGAAGATAGAAGGTAAAATTTCAGTTCTTTTCATTCTGTTGAGGTTTGTTTTGTCCTATAATATGATCAATTTTGGAGGATAGTCCATGGGTCTATGAGAAGAATGTATATTCTTTAGCTTTGGGATGGAATGTTCTATATGTGTCTATCAAACACAGTTGTTCTAGGGTCTCATTTAAGTCTCTTATATCTTCATTTAATTTCTGTTTAGAGAATCTGTCCAGCTATATAAAGTCCCCTGTTATATGGTATTATGGGATATCATCATATTGCTCAAACTAAGTAAGGTCAGTTTCAAGAATCTCGGAGCATTTAATTTGGGTGCATAAATATTTAGAATTGAAATGTCTTCTTTTTGTATTTTTCCCTTGACCAATGTGAAGTCTTTGTCTTTTTTCACTTCAGTTGCTTTAAATCCATTTGTATCTGAAATAAAATTGCAACCCCTCTTTTCTTCTGAATTCCATTTGCCTGAAAAAGTGTCTGCCAACCCTTAACTCTGAGTTTTACTTTGTCTTTTGAAGCTAGGTGTGTTTCCTGCAGATGGTGAATGGATGGCTTGTGTTTTTTAATCCAATCAGCCAATCTGTGCCTCTTCAATGGGGAATTGAAGCCATTAACATTTATTGAGATAATTGATAAGTGTGGTAGTGTTCTATTCACCTTATTTTGTGAGAGTCCATTGCTTAGTTTAATCTTTTGCATCATTGTGGAAGCTAGGTTCTGTCCTTTAATTTCTGAGTTCTTCCTTTGTTGATCCATTGTGATGGTCAGTGTGTAGAACAGGTTGAAGTATTTCCTATACTGGCCTTGTTGTGGCGAATTTCCTCAATGTTTGTATATCAGTAAATGATTTGATTCCTCTGTCAATTTCAAAGCTTAGCTTAGCAGAATATAGAATTCTGGGCTGGAAATTGTTCTGTTTAAGTAGATTAAAGGTAGATGACCATTGTCTTCTTGCTTGAAAAGTTTCATTAGAGAAGTCTGCAGTTATCCTGATGGATTTGCCCCTGTAGGTCAACTGGCACTTACTCCTGGCAACTTGGAGAATCTTTTCTTTTGTCTTGACTTTGGACAGGTTCATCACAATGTGTCTTGGAGAAACTCTGTTAGAGTTGAGGCAACCTGGGGTCCAATATCCCTCTGAGTGGAGTGTGTCAGAATCTTTGATGATATTTGGGAAATTTTCATTTATAATATTCTCTAGTATGGCTTCCATTCCTCTGGGGCATTCTTCTTCCTCTTCTGGGATACCGATAACTCATATGTTTGAAGGCTACATAAAGTCCCATAATTCTGTCAGTGAACGTTCTGCTTTCTCTCTCTTCTTTTCTGCCTCTTTAACTATCTGAGTTGTCTCAAGAGCTTTGTCCTCTACCTCTGAGATTGTTTCTTCTGCATGGTTTAATCTGTTCTTGATACTTTCTATTGCATCTTTAAGTTCCCTAATTGACTGCTTCAATTCCTCCAACTCTGCTATATCATTTTTATATTTTTCATATCATTCATCTCATATTTGATTCTGTTTTGGGATTTCCTTTTGTTTATTTTCTACTTTCTCAGCATTTTCCTTCATTGTTTTTTGATTATTTTCCACTTTCTCAGAAATTTTCTTTGTTCTTTTCATCATCTGTATTTTAAATTCCCCTTCTATAATTTCTAACATTTCTATATAGGTGGTATCCACTGCAGTAACTACCTCATAGTAGTCCATTGGGGGGTTGCTCTAGACTGGTTTTTAATGTTGCCAGGATTTTTCTGCTGATTCTTCCTCATGAGTGTTTTCTGTTATCTGTTTCCTTGCCCTAGTTTTCCTTTCACTTCCTCTTGCTCTTTAAGTTACCAGTGCCTCTGGCCTAAGGTTTCGATGAGTCCTTTTGGTACAGGAGTCTGCACGCTGCTCTGGCTCGGACCCTCTGGGCTGAAGGGTGCAGCACAGTAGCTGCAGGGGTGGCAGTAGCAGCAGCGGCTACAGGCAAAATACCTTTTAAAGCATAGCTTCAGAAGTACAGGTAACATCTGGAAACTAGAGTAGGTATTGTGAGATATAGCAGCATAAAATATGTTGGCTCCATAAATTCTAGGACAAGTATAATTTGTAACTGGGAAACTTTGGGTGTCTTTTCAAAAACTTGTGTTTATTGTCATCATTACCAGTTTGGGACTTTAGAAGGGATTTATGAACATGAAATTGCTTACAGTATGTTCATAGCAAATGAAATGTTTTTAAAAATCAAAATGTAAACTCTCTTCAAAATTTACATGATCAATAAATTATAAAACATAACCAAAAATAAGTTCATTATGTTTAGATGATGTGTTCTGGTCTATAGCCTGTTAAGAACCAGCTGCATAGCGGGAGCTGAGAGGTAGGTGAGAGATCAAACTTCACCTGTATTTATAGTTATTCCCCATTGCTTGCATCACCACCTCAGCTGTGCCTTCTCTCAAATCAGTGATGGCATAAGATTCTCGTAAGTATGAGAAACCTACTCTGCATATGAGGGATCTAGGTTGTGCTCCTTAACAAAATCGAATGCCTGTCAGTCTGAGATAGTGTTGACGAGGTGATCCTGGCACTGGGGAGTGGCTACAAATACAGATCAGTAACATTAGTAACAGAGAGGTTTGACTTCACAGAGGCTATAGTGGATCAATTACTTGCAGACTCATATCAAACCATCCCCTCCCAACTCTGGCAGTGGGAAAATTCTCTTCCACAAAACTGGTCCCTGGTGCCAAAAAGGTTGAGGACCATTGGTGTACACCAATTATGTCATGTAAATAATTCCTTGGAATATTAAATTATAACTAATCACTTTTTAAATAATAATACAGATTTCTGAAATGGACTAATTGTGGTAGTTAAAAGCAATGTCATAGAAGTCATTATTATGTTATTCAGTGTGTGAAATAAATTTTAGAATGGAAATTATTGTTAGCAACAATCTATTACATTTGTGTCACTACTTCTTAAAGAGCGTTTTTTTATTTTATCATGACAAAGTGAGAAAGAGCAAGCACTTCTTCTTTTATAAAAGAATAGTTAGTATTTGCACAAGATTATTCAATAAATGACAGTAACCCAGAACTAGCCTTATACTTTCTGACTTCCACTTAACTATTCTTTCTACTATTCTGTCTTATATTTAGTTTAAATTATTATTTGTAATTGCAAGTATTTACAAAGATCCTTAGGCTACTTGAGTTTTTGGTTTGGTTTTTTTTTTTTGGAGAGTCTCACTATGTCACCCTCAGTAGAGTGCTATGGTATCACAGCTTACAGCAGCCTCAAACTCTTGGGCTTAAGTGATTGTCTTGCCTAAGCCTCCCAAGTAGCTGGGACTGTAGGCGCCTGCCACAACGCCCAGCTTTTTTGTTGTTGTTGTTGTTGTTGTTGTTGTTGTTGTTGTAATTATCATTGTTGTTTGCAGGCTTGGGTTGGGTTCAAAGCTGCCAGCTCCAGTAAATGTGGCTGGCACCCTAGCTACTGAGCTACAGATGCTGACCCAGGCTATATAAGTTTAATCAGCTTGATTTACCTAGTTTCTATATATTTAGCATTTGCATTTTATAAATTATTATGAGAACTTTTATAAAATCATCTTAATTTAAGACATTTTAAAATATTAAATAAATTTTTAGACCAGCATGAACAGCCTTTGGTAATTTTGTACTTATACAAAATAAAGAATTTAGATATTAATTTGATTCCACTTAAACACTCTTTACCTAAATATTTATTTTATTATCTGAAATTATCATAATTTTTCCTACAGGAAAAAATTAAAAGGATACAGCAAATCAGAATGGAAAAGGAACTTCGAGCTCAACAAATTCTAGAGGTAGATCATTTCTTAAATTTAATTTAGTTAAAATAATGTCATATATCTCAAAGTCTGCAAAAATAAAATCTTTCCCTTATATTCTTTCACTAATACACATTAGTTTGTTCATCGGAAATTTTCTTTAGACTTGATGCATAGAGTAAGTTTAATTTTACCAACCTCGTGTAATCCTAAGAGTAAAAACCCAGGAAATGAGACAAAAGAAAAAGAGAAACATCTGAACAGCCTCTATAGTTGTAATAAAGTTCATGTGCTAAAACTTTTTACTTCAACAAAAGTAAAAGAACTTCTTTTTCTTTACTTGTAGAAAAGTCATTAGGGCTTATTGTCAGATATTTACTTTTAATTTAGAAACAAATATTTAGAAAAGTAAGCATTCCAAAATGAAAGGAAATATTTTTTGGTGTTTTTCTAATTCCATGGTAGATTATGAATGTAAATTTTTAAATATAGAAACAGTTTTTATCAGTTTGTTTTTCTAGTTTCTAGCATAATTCTTTTTTCCTACAAGCTGATTAGAATAGGAATAGGAGACATACAGGCAATAGCAAAAATCCAAAAGACAGCAAGGGAAAAATATAGAAAAACATCAGCTAGCATATATAGGAACTCAAAAGCCTAGCAACAATCTATAATCTTTTAGATGAATAGGAAGCAATTTTAAACGCCTTAATAGCCCAAAGGCATTACTCTCTGGAGCTGTACAGTATAACAACTGATATTCAGAATAATTGCCCCGAGTCATCAAGAAAAAGCCAAATTATGTTTAGTGTACTGTGGCTAAGCAAGCATATGTCTCAAACTTATTTCCATCTAAAATTGTGAAAATAAATTTTCTAATGTTCAAAATTATTATCACCTTGAGCTATTCAGGAACTTATTCTTTAGAGAATAGTTTATTTCCTGAGGACTCCAAAGACCTGAGGTTTTCTGTGTTACAGTTTTTTTCTTTCTAGAAATGCATACATATTTCAAATTAATTTTAAAACTCCTATGTTGAAAATTTAAATTGCATGCAAACTTTATGTCCACCCTGTATTTCTATTTTAAAGTAAATTAACAATAACTGCTAGATATAAAACTACCAGGTAGTTAATGACTTTAAGATTAGGAAACTCATATTTTATAGCATGATCTTGATTGTCATAATTGCTTCATGGAAGATTAAAAGTTTCCATTCTGTTAAAAAAATAAACACTTGAATTTAACCGCAATATACAATGATAGAGAAAATAATATTTAACATGTTTTATTTCATGTATTTAGCCAAAAAATAGATTTATTTATCTCAAATTTCAAATATTAAAAAGAAATATTAAATAAAGGTGTGATTTATTCTTGATAAAATTTTTCCTTATCAATTAAAATCTCTCATTTTCTAAACTTCTTACTTTTAAAATCAGAAAAACAATAAATAGCAAAAATCATTTTTTCTGTGATTAAGTTTTTTTTTTATTAAGTTTTAAGGTAAAATAACACTTAAGACTTTTAACAGAGCTTGAAGAAGAAAAGTTGTCTTATTCTTAGGACTCTTAAGAATTTTTATGTATGTTAATGCTAATCTATAAATTTGAAACAATACAGCATGTACTGGGGAAAATCTGTAATTGTCTACATATATGTTACGTATTGTTTTGTACTTGTGAGACATGTAGCTTCATTTCAAGTCTGAGATTATTTATAAGTTGTAGTGGTGCTGTTGCATGACTTTGAGACCTGTTTTGCATGCACAGGCTAAAAAGAAAAAGAAGGAAGAAGCGGCAAATGCCAAATTATTGGAGGCCGAGAAACGAATAAAGGTTAGTTTAGATGAGAATCAGAGTTTTATTTTTTAAAAATGAAAACAATATGTTATGCCAGCATCAATTGTATGACAAAAATAGCTTTCCTCATTGGCTGTCTAAAAATGTTTAGCAGACACAACCTATGTATAATGTGTGCCTTTGTTTGTATGTATATTGTATGTATATTTTTTATTTCATTATACAGATTTATGTGACGCTTTGAGCTCTTTAAATATGAGATATCAAATCAGAAGTACTAAATTTTGCTTAATACCTGTATATTGTGTTTTTGGACTAGAATCATCCTCAAAACTATTTTGTGTGTCACTGATGTTTCTGTTACAAACTGTCTCAAATCTGATTGTCCCCTTTTAACTTTGTCAATATCCAGCACCTCTTTTATCTATTAAAAATGAAAAGCCTAGAGAAACAAAAACCAAACTTTATCAGCTATTTGCCAATAATAAAATTAGCCATTATTAATTATTTTAATGTCAAATGTTTGGGGGTGTTTTTGTTTAGATTTCCTGGCACGTACTATGAGAGAGTTGTCCCCTTGGCTCCCCATCTGTCCCTTACCTTCCAACCTCTGATAACTAAATACTCAAGGGAGCAGCTAAGCAAACCTGCTGATGCTAGAAACAGCCATCATAACCATATCTTGTAAAGCTAGAGAACTGTTTATCATTTCTATGGTAATTTATTAAGATTTTTTGCTCTGGCTTGGTGCCTGTGGCTCAAGTAGCTAAGGCGCCAGCCACATACACCTAAGGTGGCAGGTTCAAATCCAGCCTGGGCCCCCCAAACAACAATGATGGCTGCAACCAAAATATAGCCAGGCATTGTGGCAGGCGCCTGTGGTCCCAGCTACTTGGGAGGCGGAGGCAGAAGACTCGCTTGAGCCCAGGAGTTGGAGGTTGCTGTGAGCTGTGTTGCCATGGTACTCTACCCAGGGGGACAGCTTGAGGCTCTGTCTCAAAAAAAAAAAAAGATTTTTTGCTCTTTTCATGCCTGCCCTTATTACTTAATTTTATCCAGATTTTGCCTTTATAAAAATATTAAAATTGGTAATATCCTAGAGTGGTTTCCATTAAGTTCCATCCCCTTGAGATGGTTCCCTGAGTCATATAGGTGGGCATGTTCATAGTCTTTCTCACTTTCATTCATATGCAGTATACTGAAATGAAAAATGTTAATTAGAGTACATTTGGGGGTTTATATTTAGAGTGGAAATAGTTCTAATCAGCTGGACTTGAAGATTGCAACATAATGTATTAAATTAATTTTAAAACATGTGTGAGTCATATCAATATGCTCTGGCTATCTAGCTACTCAGTAAAGTGAATATGCTATTGAAGTGTGCTGGTAGGTCATTCACTGAATTTTATGATGAAATGGCTGCTGAGAAAAGATCCTTGCCACGATTTTTAGGTAAGTATTACATATGAAATTGGATCGCCATTTTATAAGTAAAAGATAATTGAGTATTGACAATTTCATATGATTCAGTCTAATGGAAGACTACAGAATCTCTGAAAAGGAACTTCTAATACTTTCAGCATGTTCTAAAACCATCCTAAAAACCATATATTAAAAGTTTCTTATTTTTAAGGAAAAAGAAATGAGAAGACAGCAAGCCGTTCTTCTGAAACATCAGGTCTGTATACATACAGTTATGCAACTGTATAACTATTGAAATGTACATTTTATAATATTGCTTAAACCTATTTGGGGAAAGTCTTCTAAGTATTTACTTTAAAATTTCTGGTAAAATTTCTGCTTAAGTTGTTCCCTCATCTTACAGTTGATTGTCTTGCTTTGGTATTGGTGTCTTTTGGGGGGTTAAAAATTGGTTTTATGACTCTGTGATTTCTGTTTCATAATGTTGTGCCAACTCTCTCTACCAGGAGTTGGAGAGGCATAGACTAGATATGGTATGGGTATGTTTATTTTTGTACATCTAACACCGCATTGTGATTTGGTTGTGATATGGTTGTCATAGCAATGCATAAAGTGTAGCACTGGCTGCTGTCATATTACATACTGCTGCATGGCTTTACAGCACAGTGCATTGCATACATCTGCTTGTCTGTCTATAAAGAAGTATGATGCATCTCCAAGACTTTTCATTGAATTGTACAAGCCTTAAATAAGGCTGCTCTCTAAAAACTTACATTACTGATGTCACAAGGAAAGTTGGATCACTATACAATTAGATACAATTTTGGAGCATATTCTCCCATCATTCTAGATGCAAAACTGCCATCAAATACAGTGGCAATTTTGAGTTTGTTCGATGAGAGAATATGAAATATATTCTGGTTTTATAGATAAATTTTAAAAATAATTTTAGAAATATCCCTTTGAGGGGACCAAATATGCTTTAAAACATTGATCAGATAATATAAATGTGATTTTAAAAAATTTAAAATAAAATGAGATTATCAAATTAAGCTAGTGCTTGCCTTATTTGCATACTTTTCCTTTTAGATTCTTATTAGCCCGTGGTGCAGCTTTTGTGGCTTTAAATAGTGCATCAAGTGGCAGACATCAGTAAATAGGAATATCCTATTTCATTGGTATGACATATGAAATAAGACTAGCTTAACTAAATTGGTATAAAAGCATTTTTAAAAACTTTCTAATTTGTTGGTGACTTATTGGATTTACAAAATTATTTTGTACTTGAAATAAAAATGACCAGTTCTAAAACCATTTAGTGAAAAGAACCATAAATCAATTTCTTCCTGATCTAAAAATTTAAGAACAACACCACCTTTAGTTTAATTGGCCATAGCAAGTATTTGTGGTTTTTCTAATAGCAGATGTAAGGTAACTGACCTGTTCCAGCCAACCATTATGCTTTTTGTTCTGCCAGCTTTTGAAGGAGCATCACAACTGACCATAAGTAAATTTTGTATGCTTCTGTTTACACTGTCTCCATGTTCATTGCTTTACCTTTTTGCTTTTGATTGTTCTTGTATTCGCTTTCTAAACCTGAACTAAAACATGCACAGACTGGCCATTCTTGTCTTATATTTAGTATTTACTGTGACTTGTCTATAAATGCTAAACATGCTATACTGAGTTTTTTTGGGTTTTTTTAATTGTTGTTTGTTTGTTTTTCCATTTGAAAATCAAACTATTAACTCTGGTTGAGTTATTTCCCTAATTTTATCTGGCCTAATAGGAACGAGAGCGAAGGCGACAACATATGATGCTTATGAAAGCTATAGAAGCTCGTAAAAAAGCAGAAGTAAGTGTATATTTCTGGAAAAAAATATTGCTTCATAAATTAATATCTTTTCCTAAACCATTGACTCTTGTAAATATAAATTTTTCAGAGGATTTGTCATGATTTACTGGCTTTCATAAGCAAACCAAAAGTTAGAGATAATAACTGAGTGTTGGAACATAGAAGAATGTAGAAAGGGTTGCAATATGTGTGTTAATTTTCCTGGCTGAGATTTAATTATCTTTTTTTAGGGTAGCGAATGACATTCGTTTAGGGTAAAATAGCTATTTATTACTGTAACCAGAGTTTTACAAAACTAATACTACAGTATGGCTGGACAGGTCCTGTGTGTCAAGCACTAATCATTCCAACCATGGACTTCTACTCTCAGAATTATTCTTTAGGATTAAATGTGTAAAATTAGGCCCAACTACTTTCCTTAAAATTGACATTTAACAGATAATTCAGAGTAATAACATTATTGCCATAAATCAAAATTAGCTTACATAGAAATTGATAAAAATAAGTTAAAGGACTAAAATATTTGTTACAGAGGAGTACATTCTGCATTTAAACAGGTGAATAAAGGTATGGTCATAGCCAGGGCTTTGGGGATTGAGAGATTCAGATTTCCCTGCTGCTGTGCCACTAACTTGCTTTACTTCTTTTATTTCTTTAAAATTGTGATGATACCTACCTGTTAGGAATATAGGGTAATTAAATGAGATCAGAATTTAATACACGAGAATTAGTGAAAATTACACTTATCTAGAAGTTGAGAGGCCTATATTTTGGTATTTTTGTTCTCAGCTTTGGCTTAAATTAGCAATCTACCTACGTAGAAACTATGCATGTATTATTTTGAAGCCCCTGCAAGGTAGCCCAATACCTGAATTTGAATTCTGATTTTAACACTTTACAGCTGGATGACCTTGGGCAAGTTAACCTCTCTGTGATTCATTTCATCTATAAAGTAGAAATAATACCTACTCTTATTTCATAGGATTATAGTAATAATTAAATGGGTGTGTGTTTGTGTTTCCATAAAGTTCCTAAAACAGTACCTGGTACCATATAGTATTTACATTTACTTACTGTGTACATGTTTGTTATGTAGAATGTGCCTAGCAAGATGCATGGACAGGGTTAGGAACTACTAACAAACTATTTCTAAGCATAAATTATAGTATATAACATACATTATAGCAGTCTCTTTCTGTGACTCTTCTAAACTTCATAGAAATTTTGGCCTAACATTTTTTCTGCTCTTTTCCCTAACCAGTTAATTATCTAAGCCCTGTTGACACCCCAAATAATAATAGAATCTCCATATTTGTGCATGGAATTATAACCATAATCTCTGAAAAATGACAGCCAGGGAAAGAGAGAGATAACGTACCTTAGGGATTGCCATGGCTTCTCTCTCTATTCCCTTCTGGAGCAGTACAGTGGTGGGAAGAATCAGGAAGGGGATTAATTAGAATCCTGAAAGATGAACCGAATTTTCTCCAGTCTGGAAAGATGGAAACTGAGGGAGCAATTAGTAACTCAAGAAAAATACCTTGAAAATCCCTCAAGAGACATAATTCTCCCCTACCAACTGTGTTTTTTACAAGAAGGAGTAAAAAGAAACAGAGCTTGTCATTCTGGTTTTCTTGGCAGGGAGCAAAGATAAAAAAGAGAGCATTATCTCCAGGCATACTAGAATTTACTAGAAGAAAAAATCCAAGAAAATAATAAGATCATCTGAGAGTGATGCTCAGGTGAAAAAATACCCAAAGGCCCAAAGACATGAATCCTCTCATTGATCCTTCCTATTTGCCAACCATGGCCTAAGGAGAGAGTAGGAAAAGCTATTGCAGAGAGGTGGGGAAGATCTGGGTTGAGTGGTAGTAGGTTGAGCCACAGGATAAATTAATCTAATTAAAATGAAATGGTCTGAGAATCTATCAAAGCCCAAGAGTACTTTCAGAGGAAAAGGATATCCCCTTGACTAAATAGTACAGTGCTTCTAATAAAACTTAGAAGGAGCTATCAAAAACCACGTATGGGTCTTCCTTTCCTCGTTATTTTCACCCTGAGAAAAAAAGAAACATGAATAGAATATACAGTACTCACCCTTAAATCTGAAATACTTACTATAAAATAGGTACCAGATAAAGTGAGAAGGAATTAAAGGAAGATTTAACTCTCCTATAAGTTCTTAAGAGAGCTGCCTCACGTTAACATAAGTAATTTCAAACAAATTTCAAAAAAATATTTATGCTAATATTTGGTTTTAAAATGGTAACCAAAATAAAGTAAATATGTGCATATGTATCTAAAGTAGTAGTTTAAATCATAGTAACTTAAAGAGCCTGGTTGCCCTGTTTTCACTATTGCTTCCCCCAGCATTCCTTATGCATTTTCCACAGAGCAGCTGGAGTGATCTTTTCAAAAAGTAAGCCAGGTGGGGCAGTGCCTGTGGCTCAAAGGAGTAGGGCACCGTCCTCATATGCTAGAGGGGGGTTCAAACCCAGCCCGGGCCAAAAACTGCAAAAAAAAAGGTAAACCAGGTTGTATCTCAACATTATTTGATGGCTTCTCATTACAATTGTAATAAAGTCTAGACTCCTCACCCTGACATTACAGTCCCACATGTTCTGACCTTTGCCTTCCCCTCCGGCTTTTCTTCATATAACTTGTCCTTTAGGCACTATATTTCTTTCATATAGTCTTATTCCTAAACACTGTACTATTACTGTTCTGCCATATATTCAGGCAGTTCCTAATTGTTGTTCAGTCACCATTCGGATATTATCTTGTCAAAGAGGCCTTCTCAGACTTCCTAATTTTACCTTTTCTTACACCCTACCTCTGGGACTCCACGTCTTCATCTTATTTATTGTTTACTTGTTTATGGTCTATTTCCTCCCAGAATGTTAGCTCTATGAGGATAGGACTCTTCTCTGGTTTACTATTGTGTTACCAGTACCTTGATTACAACACAGTATATATTATAGTAGTGTAAAAAATTGTAGTCAGATGAATGAGTGAATGCTTTAATATGAAAGTGATTGTTGTGGCACTAAAAAAGTAAACTAAAGACAAAAGAAAATTATTAAAGAATGAGTATAATATGTTTCTATTTATATAATTCACTTTGGGTAATAGTAAATTTTTTTATTTTAGTTCACTCTAGGGAGTTTCCTTTTGTTAAAGTCAAACACTCCAGGAACTATTATTTAAAGTAATAATATAATAACATATGCCACAAAGTATCCTTAATCAGAATGAGAGATTCTCATAGGTAAAAGTGAATTCTTAAACTGTTATCCTTTGGCTCAGTGCCTGTAGCTCAAGTGGCTAATGTGCCAGCCACCTACACCTGAGCTGGCGGGTTCAAATCCAGCCCGGGCCACCAAATAATAATGACGGCTGCAACCCAAAAATAGCCCGGTGTTGTGCCTGGTGCCTGTAGTCCCAGCTACAAGGAGGCAGAGGCAGGAAAATTGCTTGAGCCCAGGAGTTGGAGGTTGCTGTGAGCTGTGATGTCACAGCACTCTACCCAGCGTGACAGCTTGAGGCTGTGTCTCAAAAAAAAAAAAAAAAGTTGTCCTTTGACAACCATATATCTGACAGGTTAATTTAATCAGTCATTCTGATTTTGAATCATCTTCCCCTAATGAATGGCATCTGTATAGATCTGTGATCAACTAAGTATTTTCTTAAATTCTTAAACTGTGGTTTTCCTAACATTAAATTGGATACATGGGAAACACAAAAAAGGATATTCAAGTAATCATATAATACAGGTGAAACTTAATGACGATTAAGCAATAACAAGGCGTATTTTAGCCAGGTCCAATGGCTCGCACCTGTATTCCAGCACTTTGGAAGGCCAACACCAGAGAATTGCTTGAGGCCATGAGTTTGAGAACAGCCTGCAACATACTGAGAGTCCATCTCCATAAAAAATAAAAAAAATTTTCCTGGCATGGTGGTACATGCCAATAGTCCTAGCTATTTGGAAGGCTGAGGTGAAAGGATCACTTTGAGCCCAGGGGTTCAAGGTTACAGTGAGTATTATGATACCGTTTTACTCTAGTTTGGGCAGTAGAGCAATACCCTGTCTCTTTAAAAAAAGGATGGGGGGGACATATTCTGTACAAGCCAAACTTTCACCTGGCCTTTTCTGTAAACTTGTACCTCAGTATTAACAAAACATTCTTATATGTACTTGATTCTTATATATACATTTCCTCGTTATTACTTAACATGCCCAAGATATAACTAGTGGAATTTAATTATGGGCAGATTGTGGCTTCATATTCTGCCACCTGTTACCACGTAGTAGCCCAAATTGGTAAATTTTTTTTCTGTTGTTAACTAAAGAATAAACTGTATTATAGAATGAAGGCCAGATGACATATAGGCAAGGACAGCTTAAAATTCTGAATTGGGTTATGTGTAACTCTTTGTTCTAAACTTTAATAACCTTTAGATCTTTTAATTTTTAGATTGTGAAGAAAGGAAAATAGGATAATAAAAATGCAGATGTTATGAGTAGTATTTAAAGATTGAGGGTATCAAAGCAAATTATTTTTACCTTTTTAGTTAAAAATCGCCAGTAACATCTGAAACTCCCTATGAAACTCCCCACACCCATCAAAGTAAGGGAGTAGCACAAATACTACTTGTGTAGTTCTTTTGTGTATACTACATTAATCTTTTTGATTTAGTGTTACCTCAATATATTTTTCACTAAAAAATTCTGAATTTCCGGGCAGCACCTGTGGCTCAGTGAGTAGGGCACTGGCCCCATGTACCAAAGGTGGTAGGTTCAAACCCGGCTCCGGCCAAACTGCAACAAAAAAAAAAGCCAGGCATTATGTCAGGTGCCTGTAGTCCCAGCTACTCAGGAGGCTGAGGCAAGAGAATCACGTAAGCCCAAGAGCTGGAGGTTGCTGTGAGCTGTGACGCCATGGCACTCTACCAAGGGCAACAAAGTGAGACTGTCTCTAAAAAAATAAAATTAAATT